CGTTGCAAAGGCTGAAGGGCATCCTCCTATAAGCAAAAGTGCCATAAGGGCATGTAAAGGTCGTCTTCTCTTGATCATTTGGTGCTATAGGAATCTGGTTGTACCCCGAATAACCATCCAGGAAGCAGTAGTAAGCATGTCCAGCAAGTCTCTCTAGCATTTGGTCAATGAAAGGAAGAGGAAAGTGATCCTTCCTTGTGGCGTGGTTGTGCTTGCGATAGTCAATACAAACTCTCCAACCCGTGACTGTGCGTGTAGGGATGAGCTCATTGTTTTCATTCGGAACCATCGTTATCCCTCCCTTTTTCGGTACGACCTGTACTGGACTAACCCAATGACTATCTGATATGGGATAGATGATCCCTCCATCCAAAAGTTTTAATACTTCTTTTCTTACAACTTCCTGCATAGTCGGATTTAATCTGCGTTGATGCTCAATTAAAGCTTTGTAATCATCTTCCATCAGTATCTTATGCATGCAAAGCGAAGGGTTGATCCCTTTTATATCTGATATCGTCCATCCTATTGCTATCTTATGCTCTCGAAGTACCCTCAACAACCGATCCTCCTCCACTTCTATAAGATTGTTTGAGATAATTACTGGAAGTAAATTCTTTTCTCCCAAGTATACATGACGAAGATGAGTGGGCAATTGTCTGAGTTCAAGAGCTGGAGCTTGTTGTATAGATGGTAAAGGTGTTGTGGGTCTTTCACTGAGCTCCAAACATGGTTGCTTGAAGAATGGTGGTATGGCTGCCAAATAATGTTTACATTCTTCTACTTCCTCCTTTTCTGATGGTAGATCCTGATAATGCACTGATAATGCACTAAACACGCCTCAAGCGGATCTTGAGCGTAATCTAGTTTAAATGTCTGACATCGCTTCTTTTATTATATCAATCTACATGCAAGAATACGGTTTGCTTTGAAATCTGAAAGTTTTAAACACGTTGATTGTCAATTCTTCTTCATTTAATCTCAATATCAACTGACCTTTTTGCACATCTATCAGAGCCCTTTCCGTAGCCAAAAATGGGTGACCTAATATGAGGGGAACATTCATATCTTCCTCCATATCCAAAATAATGAAATCTACTGGGAAGATAAACTTGTTGACCTTCACCAAAATATCTTCACAAATACCACGAGGGTGCTTGATCGACCTGTCAGCCAACTGCAGTGAAACTGTTGTTGGTTTTGCTTCCCCCAAACCTAGTTTCCTAAAAAGAGTTAAAGGCATTAAATTAATGCTAGCTTCTAAATCACACAATGCCTTATCTATATACAAATTACCAATGTTAAAAGGAATAGTAAAACTCCCTGGGTCTTTTAGTTTCAGTGGTAATTTGTGTTGGAGAATTGCGATACACTCCTCAGTAAGCATGACTGTTTCATTGTCCTCCAGCTTCCTCTTATTTGATAGAATATCTTTCATAAACTTGGCGTAGCTATGCATTTGAGCTAAAGTTTCAGCAAATGGTATGTTAATGTGTAGCTTCTTGAACACATCCAAAAATTTCTGGAATTGCTTATCGAGCTTATGTTTTTGCAATCTCTGTGGAAATGGGATCGGAGGAATGTATGCTTTAACAGGGGGCGGTTGCTTTCACTTGTGGACTATCCGATGACTCAACTTGATTTTCCTTTGTGGCTTCGTATGATTCATCACCTGCTCCTCGCCTGTGGTAGGTACATTTTCTATGATAGTTGCTGGCCGCTTTCGAAAGTATTTCTGGTAACTGGACGCCACTACGTGTAGTGATTGCTTTGACCTGCTCCTTAGGATTTGTTTCAGTATTGTTAGACAATGTCCCTTGAGCTCTACCGGATAGTGCGGCTGCAATTTGTCCAACCTATTGCTCTAAGTTCTTGATTGACGCTTGTTGGTTTTGAAAGTTGGTCTCAATTTTAGTAATGTATTGAGCCAGCAAATCTTCCAACGATGGCTTTCTCCCTTGCTGTTGTTTCTGTTGGAACCCTGGTGGTTTATTCTAATTGTTTTCTCCTTGTTCTTGTACCTGATTATTGGACCAAGAAAATTTTGGATGGTTCCTCTAACCCAGATTATATGTGTTGGAGAAAGGATTATTTTGCTGTCTCTGAAAGTTCTGTGCGTAGCTTACTTCTTCGGATTGATTAACATGTGTTGATGTCAAAGGACAGCGTGTACTAGCATGATCTGCTCCACAGCCTTCGCAAACAGGCGGCGATTGGTGTACCATGTTAACTGACTTAGACAGATTGTCCATTTTCATTGTAAGAACTTCCATTTGGGCGGCCAGTGCTGTCGCTGCATCCACGTTGTGTAACTCTGATGTTTTTCTTGGAGCTTCCCTATCGGTTGGCCACATCGATTGATTCTCAGCTATTTTTTCATACAAATCATAGGCCTCATCGACATCAAGTTTCATAACTGATCCTCCCACTGAAGCATCTATCATATTTCTGAACTCCAGTTTTAGTCCGTAGTAGAAGAGATATTGCTGAGCTTTCTTAGGAATGTCAAGGCTGGGGCATTTTCTGAAAAAATTCTTGAACCTCTCCCATGCCTCAAGATAGCTCTCGAGATCTTTTTGCTTGAAGGTGTGGACGTCATTCCTAATTTGGTGAACTCAAGAAGGTGGAAAGAATTTCATCGTGAATTTTTGAACCATATCGTTTCATGATTGAATGCTCTCTGGTGGTAAACAAAGAAACCATTCTCTCGCAGTATCCTTCAAGGTGTGAGGGAATAATTGCATTCGAAATGCATCTACTGATATCCCTTCATGACTAATCACCCCACATAACATGAGAAAAGCAGAAATATGCTCATGACGATTTTCCGTGGCTTTCCCAAAGAACCTGATGTCTTGGTGATTTTGAAATAGATTGATGACATCTGGTATGAGGTGGAAATTAGGTTGTTCGAAAGGAGGATATACCACAGTTGGTTGCATTGGTGCAGGAATTGGATTGACGTAATCTTCAACTAAGATAGGAGCTCCGTTCTGGATGGCTCTCTGTTGATTTGGCTGTGGTATTTGCTCTTGAAGCTGAACCTGATTCTGCTATTGATTTTGATTATCGCCCATTCTCCTTGCTAAATGTTGTACTCTTCTACGATTTCTAAATGTCCTTTCGATTTCGTGGTCTACTGGTAAGAGATCTTGTTCGTCAGGATTTTGCATAAATTAAAGTTGCCTAAAAAGTGTAATGGTAGCCTAAAACTTGTTCGTGTGAAACCCGCAAGCGTACGGGATCGTTGACAAGTAATAATAAGTGAGTTAAGAGTTTATCGTCCCACAAGGAATAATGTTTAATGTCTAGTTCGATAGTTTTTATCAAATTCGCTATTATCGTAACACAAAAGAGAGTTTAATATTTTTCTATACTAATCCTAATCTAAGAAAGCGATTAAAATGTAATAAACTAATATGTGAATGAGTGTATTGGGATCTCAAATCCCCCTATTGCCATTTATTCCAATTCTTAATTCGTAATGTGGATAATTTCATTAATTCAAGATAATCGATAATCCACTTTTGTTCAATATTCTTTTCCAAGATATATTAAACATATGTTTAACACGACCCGATCCTATTCCTAGTCCGAATTCATATGAAAAACATGCATTAATTCACAGAATTTATCACACTCGATTACACATGCCATAGAGATTATTCCTAATACCTATTGCCCATGTGTTGATTTTACCGTGTTCTAGACTTATTGTGGGTATTACTACACTACAATAAGTAACTTACTATCTAATTGGTGATCAAGCAATTAAATAGTTCAATGAGAATGTAAAATCAATCAAGAAAAACAATAATTAAACTAAATTACTTGTCTAGAATTAGAAATAAATAAACATTAGGGTTCATCTCATCTAATACACAAAAAAGAATTAGCCTAACATGCTGTTAAAATTAATGAACAAATAAAAGTGGAAGGACATCACCAAAAATTTCGACGGTACGTAATTAATTTTTATGTCAATGACTCTGCCGTCGATTTCCTCTTCAATGTTTTCTGCATGTGTCGTCTTTCTTCTAGCAATTACTTGTCTCCAATTCTCCTTTTCTCGGCTTCTATTCGTGTAATTCTATAATATTGGTTGCCAATAATTGATTCCTCCAGCAGCCTGCCAATTCCTCCCCTTTTGTTGTGCGTTCGCTGCCTCTAATGTGTACAGATATATAATATATTCAGCAACCGGCCAGCAACTGTAAATTTCCAATCGATTTCGCCTTTAATGCGTGTAAAGATATATAGTATTGGCAGTCTCCTTCCTTCCCCCAAGCTCCCCCCTTCAATTACTGTGCGTATGTATGATATTGGGCAGAAGGCGGCCCTCTACTTCGTCAATTCCAACCACTATGTTTGACTCCTTTCGCCGCCAAGCTGTGAGAGATGTATATTCTATTTCAGCCCCCCCCCCACTTTCAGTGTGTATATATATAAAATAAAACCTAGCAGCCGGTCCACAATGCGTGCTCCAAAAAGGACTCCAATTTCAGCCCATGTTATTGTCTTCATACGTGTGTTTGTATGTGGAATTTTCTGCCAGGAAGTTTATTTCACAGGAGCCCATGTAATCCTTTAATTTTATTTCAATTGCAAGTCCAATTTAGTCCACTTCTCATTCCAATTCCAATTGGTAGCTGGCCCATCAACTTTATCCAATAGTCAATTTAGTACCCATACTTTGAATTTGTCATTTTTTTGCCCATTTTTGCTTATTTATTCAATTCTTTGTTCAAACGTGAGTTGTTCCTAATAAAAATAATACAATACAAATTATGTCATATTTTGTGGAAAGAACAATAAAATTCCATAGTTTAAAGTCCCGAATAAGTGTAGGAAATACACTTATCAGTTATACAAACCAGAGGGATAAATCATGCAATTCCATGTACAACACAAAAATACAATGTGAATCAATGATTCACACTTCTCTGGATCCATTTTTTCACACTCCAACTTGAAAAATTGTGAATATTGAATATGCGCGGTGCTCATGAACCAAAGGTACTCTTAACAGTTGAGAAATGTTTCTTGTATGAAACCAGTGTGTCAACCTTATGTGTCTTAGTATCAAAAGAATTCAGTTTCACCATCTGAGGGTACGCTATCAGTTTAGGGTCACTCTCAATCCAAGTAATGGAACTGCTACATCTGTGTCTGTGTAGCCTCATAATAGCTTGAATTTTCCTCATAATTTCCTTATCACTTTTCTCCATTGAAACTCCTTTTTCGACAACCTCTTTATCCGTCTTGTAGGAAATTCGCAGCATACTTTGACATTAATTTCGGGTCAATAAACTTACTTGAAATGTTAAATTCCAAGATTTTTGTGTGGTTGAATCACATTGCCTTCAAATCCCTAAAATCTACATTTTCTTGTACTCCAATAGTCCAAATTCCAATCACAATGGAAGGAGATTATTATCCACAATCTAAGTGCCATTTTTTGTGAGATTTCATGCAAAAAAATGTGACTATAGGGACTTTCCAATTTTGAAGTGAATTTCCATACGAATTTTTCACCATTTTTCTCATGTCCCATTTTCCCTCACTTTCCATAACTTCCATATGGAAGTTCCTAGTGGTTATTCAGGGAGTTAAGAATTTAAATTCTATTCAAAATATTCCCTCCTTACCACTTTTGAAATCTTGTGGGTCGGGTCACCACACATGGGCGACCCATTACCCGTATTTTCCAACACGTCTCAATACTAAAATTCCACCTCTCTAAAACCTCACCAGTTGCCTTGCTCATGATCACCAGAACTATCCTCTGCAGCTTCCCAAATTCCAACCACTCAGAAAGCCGTGCTGATATGTTTGAAACGAATGATTTGACACCTTCGTCCGTAGTAAGCAGCATTGAAGCCCATATTTCTTGAGATAAAACTTCTTTTCTAATACATGAGTGATGTATAGAGAGGACCATTTTTTGAATGAGAGGAGTATTTCTAAGGAATGATTTGGTGACCAGTTTTGATTTCTCCTGAAGAATGTGTGATTGGAGTTTCATTTTGCATCTCTCTCTTTCTAATAAATTTGGAAGCAGTACTGCGTGGATTTGGGTGGGGTTTGGGTAAGTGATAATGGCTATTTGGTGTATGATTTTTGCATGTTTAATGATTAATTGGGAAGAGAATGAATTTTTAGATTTTCATTTGTACTGCATAAATTACAATATTTCCATAATAAAAAAATATGAAATGTAAAATTGGAATTTTTTTTAAAAATGGTGTACTGGGTGAAATTTCCTCTTTATATAAACTACTAGTCTATATTACATACGTTGCACGAGCTGTGCATGAATTATGATTTGGTTAGCATATGTATTGAATATGTTTGAAAGTATATCAGAAGATGGAATTATTGGCAAAGAACTAACCAGCAAATAATTTAGATAATAGTATACATATTGATGTGTTTGATTGTGATTTGTAAATTTGTATATTCATCGTGGTTAATCATGCGTTTGTATTACAGTCAATGATAGATAAGAGAGAATAAAAATTAACTTCATTACCATCGTTAATTACAGCGTATAGCCAAGATAAAATAAATAATGACTGGTTTTCGAGATGGCTGATGTAGGGATTACATATACATCATTTGTCATTACTTTTTTTGTTTGGCAGTTTTTTATCAGGAGATTATACATACTTAACAAAATAGAATTTCAAGATCAAATTTACGATGAAGACAAATTTCACAAAACGAAATAGAAAAAAATTCACAAAACCACATAGCACTCTTGTCAAAAGGTTGGTATTATGGAAAATATTTCCACTATCATTTACTCCAGTTTTTCTTTGTGAGCAAATGGATTTGAGTCTGAACTTATTTTTTTATCACAAGCCACTTTTGAGCTGGAACTCTCATTGGAAAATTTGAAAAGGGCTTTTTTCGCTGAAGGTGACCAATCTTCTTGATAGTCTGTACTAACTTTTTCCCAACTGCTGTAACCACAACCTGACTGTCAACGTTTGTTTGGATTTTTGGTTCAAGACTTGCATGATCAATATTCACTTGGATTTCTTGTCCTGGACTTGGATGGTCTAAGTCTGTTACAGAGATGATATCAAATCTGTAACTTGATGAATTAGATTCATTTTGCGATGCTTTTAAGTAGAAAACTCGTTCAGTATCCTGCATTTTTTTAATGGTTGCTTCGAAATTTGTCCTTGAACCCTATGTTAATTTTAAATTGTATTAATATTATTCTACTAAAATATGTTTTGAATGGCAAAATGTTTGAGATAAGTTGGATTTCTTACAAATTTGGTTTCCTCCATCAAAGACTCTAAAGTTGTAAATAATAGTTTCTCAACTGGTTCACCAATTGCATTTGCACTGATTGATCTCGCGACATCTGAAAGCCACACATATGCTTTAGCCCTAAAGTGAAAAAGAAATTAGTATTAATAGATGTAAGAGTAATAAAGAGAAGTAGAAAGGTCATGCATAAGTAAATATTTTACCTTCACCAAATGAAGTAAAAAATGAAAAGTAATTAATTGTTAGTGTATTTTACCGAGGAATAGCTTTAGAATTGGGATTCTTGCAAAAAATACAAAGATATATTTCTCTAAAATCAACATTCGACCGTCTAAAATAGTTGTTGCGGGCCATTACCAAGATTTGCTATTAATTTTGTCTGTTGTTGCTGTGCCGTTTACCCAATAAAACTTTCGCTGTTACCAATATAGATATATTTAGAGAAATTACAAGGAAAAATAAATAATATGATTAAGTACATCTTGTAATATATATCTCTTTATTAGGAAATAAATACAAATTGAATAGCATACGTAACCTTAATATTACTGCTAGAAGGCATCCCTAAAGATTTTGAATAGGAGTTAATTTACTTAGCACGGTTGGAGAAAGATTTGTGAGGCTTTTGTCCATGTATGATTTTTTCAATACAAAATCATCTATTTTAATGAAATTTGTTCTTACCCTAATCAAAAGACATGAAAATAATTAGTAACTCCAATAGTAATGTGTGGAAAAATAATCGAGAGGGAAAAAAAGAATAATAAAATATAGCACTTTGTACATACCATTCTGTCATTTGTTTTACTGCGTTGAAAGGTGTATTTATGAAAAAACTAGAACAGACTTTTGTGGACAATTTTAAACCTATATAATATCAATATGGAGAATGTGTAAAGGATGTAATATATGCCTTAAGCGGAGTTTAAATAATACAATAGAACATACCAAAGAATGATGTAACCTTTAGACGGGTTGCGAAGATGACTGGCTTTTTGTCAATAATGTCTACTATCAGTAAGCATTCTCTATCAACAAATGAATCCCAAAGTGTAAGCACCATTGTTTTGAAATTCATGTCTAAAAGTATGATATCTTGCAACCAAGTTTGGTTGCCATCTTTGGATTGAATCAATCGTTTGGGTGTCATATCAACTGCAACTGTAAGTATATCTGCAAATTTGAAATGAGCCATCAAATTCTCTTTTTTTTTTTTAACATAAGCATTACGAATTTGAAGGAAACTATATTTCTGTAGAATCAGTATATGATTATTTAATATCTATGAAATTGTATCTTACTTAAATCAGCATTTGTATCTATGTATTGTTCGAGTTCATGAAACTGTGTCAGTTGATATGTTGAAAATACAAACTCTAGATTATCTTCATTCAATTCTTCAATACGAGTTTCTTCAGATATTGTCCATTGTAGAGAGCCAGTCGAATATCTGTAGTTTGTCGTATTGTTTTTTACGTAAGCTTTCGAAATAGCATAAGTTTTTCCCAGAACAAGTTGATCCTCAAAAGCAGTGATATTGGAATCATATAAGCTTGCCTGAATAGTATTACCCTGAAAAATGATGAGAAACCATATAAATAACTGTAATATACGTGATCTTAGATTAAGAAAAAAAACAAAAAAAAAAATGAAATGAAGAAAAAATGTATGAAGAAGAGTTACCTGAGTATCCATTAACATCAAATGTTGGTACCTTCCATTGCCTTGTCTCGAAAGCTTTGGTGATTATTTTTCAACTACAATCACTTTAGCTTTCCACTTTTGATTGTTGGAAATAATTTCTGGTAGAAATTGGTATTGTTCTTTCATCGTGACAATTTCGTAACAGAATAATAGAGGCAAAATACACACAAAATGAAGATTTCTATGGCAAACGATTTTGAGATATCCAATTGACAAATAAAAGAAGATATATATAGATATAAAATTATATCATATTTGGTTTCCCGTACTTTATCTTCTATTCTTAATTTTATTTTTTTATAAAAAGTAATACAAGTATGTACTAAGTAAAATCTTATTATTAGTCATATACTGTCATAACTTGTTGTTTGCATGAGATATGGAGATTATTTGTAATATTCATTTACTGATAGTACATAAATAACGTGAGTTCAAGGATTTACACTTGGAGCAGAATATGTAAAACTATATTTTATTCGTTCTCCCTATTATAAATATAATGAAAGGACGTCAAAATTTGGATTAAAAAATGAAAAAGGTCAAGATTTACACGGTAAAATCTTATCATACTCATACTCTATCGATTCATAATGACTGAACATAGACATGGGCTGACAAAGGTTTAAACATGGTACAAGAATGGCTCTGAATTAAATTAAATTGAATTCACCGGGAAAAAAGTATTAATGCTACAAACCTTCATTGTAATGGAAGGAAAATTTAATTCAGTTATTTATTTAGTTTAAATAAATTGAATTGTAATAAATATATAAATACATGTGAATATGTTGATGTATGATTTTGTGTATGAAATTAAAGAATTCAAACAAAGACATAGATTTGAGATTCTATAAAAGGTGTGAATAGTTTGTATTTCATAACAAAACAAAAATACTTCATTGATTGTTGACCAAATGCATAAAACAACAATAATATACAGATCATATATAACAGCTTTTTATCTTGTGGTTGGTATAAAGCTTATTTATTATAGTTTTAGTCCCAAAAATCTATACATTTTCAAGAGAAACTCCCCGCGGATTTAAACGGGAGAAGCTCTGAAATTGGTCGAAAAAGGTAACAATTTTACTTAAAAATTTACAATCAAAAAAACTTACATATATCTGCACAGATCTGTGTATGGGCAATAATTTTACCCATAAGAACTCCGTAATTATAGAGACCCAAGCCTTAATGGATTTCCATAATTACGGAGGTCATAACAAGGCCCCCGTATGATAGAGGCCTGCCTCCGTAATCATGGAGGCCTTGCTAAGGCCTCCATCATATGAAGGCTAGGCATGCCTGGCCTCCATAAATACGAAGGCTGGCCTCCGTGATTATGGAGGCCAAGTCTCTATAATCACGGAGGCGGGGCTAAGGCGAGGCATAATTTCATGTCATGAATTGTCTGAATTGTCTAGATACGAACATAAGATATATTATTATCGATTTTAAAATATTTGTGCATGTATAGGTTATGAAGATATAATGTTTATTTGGAACTCTTAAAAAAAGTTTCTCTATTTTTAATTTTTAGATTCATTCATAAATAAGATGTGATTTTTGGAATAATTCATGCAGATGTCTCTAGAATACATAATTTTTCCGGATCAATGGTTTTCTGCTACAATTGTCTAGTATCCAAATTTCGAATATCTTAGAGACTTTGTACAATTTTTATATTCGAATGAGCAATTTTCGTTGATGTGTAGTAATTTTTATGGATTTCTTTATGGAGCTTTCTACAAAAGAAAAAATGTACAATTTAGTATGAGGTTAGTGCATGAATTTATATTGAGGCTTGTGAATTGTGGGAAAAATGATGAAATTTGGGTAAGGTTAGACAATCGTATAGCCAGATTTGGTATGCAAGAATTTTGTCTTATTACTGGATTACCTTACCATGAACCATCCATGGATATTAATGATACAAATGATCGTCTTAGAAATCAATACTTTAATGGTACATGTCGAATCAGTATGAAGATGCTTTATGAAGCATTCCATGCGTGTGAACATGAAGAAGATAAATTGAAGCTTGGTTTAGTCATGTTGGTCGAATGTGTGTTGACACCCATTTCAAGACAAATTGATTATAGAACTCTTGGTATGGTTGAGCATCTGGATGAGTTCCTTGCATATCTATGGGGTCGCAAAGCATATTTGATCTTGTTATATTCATTAAAAGCATCACAATCTAAAAGAATACAAAGGATGCAACTGAATGAACAAACAGAATGCAAATATGCATTACATGGGTATCCACTTGCATTCCAGGTAATTAGTCTCTATTCTTGTATTGACTTATTATGTACAATATATTCCCATAAAAAAATTTTATACATATAATATTTATTTTTAATTATCTTGAAGTATTGAATATATGAAGTATTTCCAAAGATCGAAAAGAAATTTGGACATCGTAAACATAAAAAATCACAGTGTCCAAGAATATACAAGTAAAAACCCAACCAATTTGTAACTGAAAAAGAGATAAAGCTTTTTTTGTCTACTCGTAATGTATGTTTTTATGAATGTACAATTACTCTCACATTCAATTATCTTAAAATAAAATTAAACTCAAAATAAACGATTTTGATAATTCAATTTGATTACAGATTCAAGTGATTGCTGTGCTACAGCCTAATGAAGAAGAATTACAAAGTCTTTGGTACGGAACTCTTTCATTGCCAGTGGATAATGGACACAGCAGATTAGATGGGATTATAAATGGAGTATTGGATAATGTAGTAGAACAAATCCCAGACAATATATATGTGCAAGAAATGACGATTCCCGGTACTTCTACATCTTCACCTGTATTTGACTCTAGCTCTGTTCCCAGTGGCTCCAACTCCTTAAGTGAAGATAAAATGGAAGAATTGTTGGGTATCTATAGGCAATACATAGCATCAACGTGTCTAATGTATATAGCAACTTAAAGGCAGAATTTGCTGATGAATCAAGAGCTCGCCACCATGCGGTTCTTGAAAACTAAAGACAATTATTTGAGGAGCAAAAAAATGGCAAGAAGATTACATGCAACATCATTATCAGATAATTCTTGACAACCAAAAGCAATTTTTCGAACAGCAACAGAAGTGGCAGGAAGATAGATATCAGGGTATGCAATCTTATATTGATACCAGTTTAAGTTCAATGAGATCCTATGTTGATGAACAAAATCAGGAAACACTGAACACATTATCTGAATGGAAATCAAACATGGAAGCCATCATAGGTTCCATACAACAAAATGTCCCTCTCGATACAAGTGTTGTTCCCTGCGATAAACCAAATGAGATATCAACAGCTGAACAAATTGAGAGCTCTAAAATGTCGATAAAAGAGAAGAAAAACAAGGGGAAACAAATACAGTCTTCATCATCTTCAGATCGTCCTCTGGAGGACTATCCTATGCAAAGATACATAAAAATTAGAAATTTTATAGCGGAGAATCAATTTGGGTAATAAATCTAATTTTACTTATATTTGATTTATTTGGAATTAATTAAAATTATGCCATATAGTGCATACTTGGACGATGACAGTAACAATGTCTTTGGAAGAGACATGTTGAAAACTCTAATGGATCAAACACAGGACATAAATATTACTGTAAGTAAAGTCTATAAATTACAATAAATTTTATTTCATAGTCGATATATATAATCTAATTTATATCTATTTATTTTATCAGAACATTGAGCTAGAGTTAAAACTATTGAGGCGGCTCATGAATGATGGTTGTCCGCTTGTTTCAAAAGAATATGCAATTATGGATTTCAAATTTGAAGCAGAATGTGCTCGTCACATGATGTGGCATACTAACACAGGAATGGGAACCACCAGAGGTGAACCAGATGGAACTCTTTTACAAAGTTATATGAATGGAAAAGCACCTATATTTGGTCGTCCTTGGATGAGATGCAAGTATATATTAATTACGTGCTCATATTCGGGCAATAGCTGGTACCTTTTCGTTGTCAATATTTCTGAATGGAAATTCTAGATATATGATTGCAGTAATAACGCCCACACACCGGATCAAGTAAAAGCACATGCAAAAGCTTCATTGAGTGTGGTAGAAGCACTATTGAAAACAACTTTATCTTCTGTAGGAGATAGAAGGAAACATAGGAATAAACAAATGGAGCAAGAAATTATACCTTACCTAAACTGTGCAAACAATGGGTAAGCATTTAAGTGGCTTTTTTTTAGCAGAATATTTAATTTTCTAAACTTAGTCATTTATTTTAACACTAAACTATTTCTTTCACAGGCCTAATTGTGGAATTTTCGTGATCAAATATATAGAATGCTTTATTTTGGGATATCCAATTGAATCAGTTTCGTCGGATAGGATGAGCATATATAGACAAAAGATTGCGATAGATATCTGTAATAACGAATACTTTCTTCATCCCCGTAAGTCCTAATTGTAGTAGATAATCAGAATATACTGATTGAAATATTATGTAATAAACTTGTGTTTTTTATCCTTTCTTTTCGTATCTTATCACTGATCCAAATAAATAAAGATATGTTGAACATGGAATATTATGAAGGACATGTTTAAAGATAATGACCTAACCCTTTTATGTGCACCATGTTTTGTACTAACAAGTAAAGTATAACTGAAACGCATAATAACATGTAAAAATAACTAACATTGTATAGCTCAATGTTATTCTCCTTGACACAAGATGAATTAGCAGAGAAAATATCCTCTTTTAGGCTAACAATAGATTGGCAGTCCAATTAAGCGAAACTTGTAGTTATAGACTTCTTAAGTAGTATGTATCAAATTCAAAATTTCAAGGTAGACTACATTTTTTGTGCAACAATTGTGTGATTTTATTTCATCCATTGGTTTTATTAGAACTTTTATGTTTTCTCTTGTTCTTGCTGTAGATAAAGCGACATATAATTGACCATGTGAGAAAACAGGTTCAGCCAAATATAGTCCAATAAAATCTAAAGTTTGACCTTGAGCTTTGTTAATGGTCATTGCAAAACAAGGACGAATGGGAAATTGAGTTATCTTAAATGGTACCGAATACTTATCTCCTTCAAGTGGAATAAATGAAATTCTAGGTAAAAATACTTATTTTCCACGATATTCACTTATTCCAATTTTGGCTAAAATAACATTTCGTTTAAATTCTCGACAAATAAGTCTAGTCTCATTTCACAAACCTTTTGAAGGATTAATGTTACTAAGCAACATAACAGGACAGTTTTTTTTTAGTACAAGTTCATGTGGAGGGATACCATTTGAAGTTAGACTATTAAAAAAGTCTTCATGAATAAATCCTTCTGTTTTATCAATTATTTCATCGAAACTAAAATATGTAAATATCTCTCCTGGAATTTCTTTAACTAACATATTATTTATTACATCCTCATGTTCATTTTTTGGAGTCAAAATAACTCTGTTCATCATAGTATTCAAATTGTCACCATATGTGTGAAAATTAGGAAACACGATAGCAATTAGTTTTTTCAATGATTCAAATTCACTCTCAAAATCTATTATTATATCTGAAGGAAGCTTAATCATGTGATACGTATGTTCTCTTTCTATTCCATTTCCAATTCTAAGTAAATATTCACAGAACAAAAGATCTAATTTAACTCTCATATTCTCAATCAATGGTAGTTGTATAAAATATTGTCATAAATCTGAAAAAACTAAACTGGCCTTCATGATATCATCTTTTGTTTCTCTTTGTACTACTAGCAAAACTTGTCAAAAATATCCTCTGAACACAAAAACCTTTCCACCAAATGGCAATTCACATTCAGTAATATCTTTTAACATTTTATCCAAAACTTCAAAAGCACATCTATTAATCATCGGTGCTTCATCCCACACAATTAGGTTTGTCATTTGTAAAAGTTGACCAAGTGATGATTGTTTACTTACTGAACATCGCATATCAGATTTGATTGAAGTGGGATTTTAAAACGTGAATGACCAGTTCGCCCAGCCGGCAATAAAGAAGCAGTCACTCTCGATGATGCTGTTGCTAATGCAATAAGTTGTCGAGATCATACTGTAGCAAGTAATGCCTTCTACAGAAAAGTTTTTTCAGTACCTTCTGGACCATCAATAAAAAAACTTCATTTTTATTATTTACAACACAGTCTAAAATAACATCATAGACAGATTCTTGCTCCTTATTTAAATTCTCTGTAAAATGCATGTCACACTGAACATTAATATTTGTAGTCTCTTCTAAAATCATGTTTGCTAACACATCAACATCATTCACAATTACGTCAAAATTTACCAGACCAAAATCATTTATATTTGTACCAAAAACTTTCAAGAATGAATTTATGCATCTCAAAGCCCTAATCTCGACATCACATACTGTCATGCTTGCATGTAAAAAATCTTCTATCATGTACACTTTAAATTTAACACATAAATTCCTAGGATTTGCAGGGTTACAAAAAATTAACATATTAGCAAACAGGCGACACAATGATATAGGCATTTCATAGGTGATCGCCTCATTTAAACACATTTCACAATAATTATTCCTACCTATTAGACCATGTAAAAATGCAGTTTCGCGATAAGTAGGCACAACAATGTTATTAACTGTTCTTAAATCTTGAAAAGACTTAAGCCTTTTAACATGATTCAATAAAACTCTTAGAAAGTATCTCTCGCCCTCAAATGGATTAGCAGCAACTATTCTACCAATAACATTTTGCTTCTTTCTAGGACTCTAAACTCGAAAATATGTATTCTATACAAAGTATGTAGAAAAATCCTTATAAAGTAAAGTTCGTGCCTTTTCATTTGAAATATTCATTCTAAAAAATTTAGTTAACATTGTTCGTTGAATGGAGTCTTTATTTATAACTTCTGATAAATCATCTGTTTCATTATATGTAACCAACTGAGCATTTTCAATATGTAATTGCAAAGAAACTATGGAAGGAGATATGTCAAATAAATCAAAACTAAAAATTCTCCATATAGCTTCCGGTGCAGATATCCATCTAGCGGTTTGATAATTCAAAATCTCATCAACATAATGCTCATTAGTTTCTTTATTCACCGTAAAATTAACACGATCATATCCTTTGTATACATATTTGTATAAATATTTGACTGCTTTAACAGAAGAAATTTCAACATTAATGTGACAATCATACTTAGCTAAAATATAAGGATGATATGGTACAACCCATCTATTGTCTAGTACAGACCCTCTGACCTTAACAGTAACACTATCGTCACGACGCCTATAAAGTGGATATGAATTACTACCTAATGAAGTATGCAAAATGTATTCTCTTGGATACTTGTTTTTACAAGTATGGTTATTTTCCATGCACACATTTGTAGGATTTAATTGTCCATAAGGACCATACATCATATGTTTGACCATAGTAGCATGCAGGTGAGGATTTCTCTTTGGATATGATATTTTACAAGAAACAATTTCGTCAACTTGCGTAGAATTAGTAATCTTAAAATTGGTTTTAAATATCAGGAGAACATGAACATAAGGTAGACCTCTTTTTTGAAATTCAATTACATACACATAGGCAGCTATAGGCCATAGAATTTCTTTCTTTATTAAATCTATTTTTAGTTCTTCAAGTTTTGCTCGAAATATTCGGGCTAACAAATCTGGCATATTTTGTATACTATCATTGTGCCTCAATTCTTGTTTAATTTCAGGTCAATTTGAATTGCATGTCATTGTTAAAAATACATCATGTTTTCCATATCTTTGAACTAAACACATTGCATCCATATATCTTTTAGTTAAATTTCTAGGATCCCCAATAAACCATGTAGGCAACACAATTGATTTGCCAATTTTATAGCCTCTATTCTCACCATTTTGTATATTATCTAAAATTTCTTGATAAAGTTCACCTCATATAGTCTTTTGATTATTACGAAAATAATCTAATCTCGCAGCTTCAATCTTAACATACAACACAATTGATTTGCCAATTTTATAGCCTCTATTCTCACCATTTTGTATATTATCTAAAATTTCTTGGTAAAGTTCACCTCATATAGTCTTTTGATTATTACGAAAATAATCTAATCTCGCAGCTTCAATCTTAACATACATATCCACTATATATTGTTGTAGAAGTTTGCCTGTATAAAGGAGTACAAACTTATCTAAAAGTTTGATTTGAAGTTTGTAGCAATAATATTTACGGCATGACACGGTAATTCGTTTCTTACCTCTCTTCATAGTTGAAAGGAAAAAAAATTAAAGTCACAAAGACAGATCTAGAAATGACAATACATTTATGCGCTCTAAAAAGATTAAAAAACTTCAATGGAAGTAAAACTTACCACGATCTTCCATCTCTATAAGTTGTTCTGCCGAATCAATGTAATTGATTTGTATGAAATCTTCATGGACTATTGAAGTATTCAAATTTACATTTTCGATACATTCATGCCATCCAGGTTCTCCATAGGTAAATACTAATGGATATTGAAGTGAATCATAACAGTCATAATAGTAATTTACTCTATGTGCAGTATTGAAATGTCCATAAATTAATATATCACGAGTCTTTATGCTTGCAGATGGATCATCATCAACCCACACCGCACCCACCTGTTCACATGATGACATGTTATATACTCTCTGGTCGAGACCCGGATCAGACCTCAGTACGATACAGCATGAATCAAAATCAGAAATTTCACTTAATGATCGAAAGAAACGACAATATTGATTTATCTTTAAGATATCTATTAACTTTTTCAAAGTTGATTCACTTAATCTATCTGAAATTTGTAGTCTATTACTAATTTCATTATAAGTATCGTAAAAGTATAACTACAAATATGTAGGATTTCCATCAATTAGTAGAAGTGGATTTATAAAATGGTATACTTGTCCTTGAACTTTGAACGTATATACACCTCTATTATTTTTGCACAAATTTTTATCATATTTAACACCAAATGAAGTTAATGCAAAATGGTTGTTGTAAGTACAAACAACTTTTTTAAAAGTAATCGCTTCACATGAAGTAGAAATAAGTAGCTCATACAATTCAGGGGGAAAACTGTTCAGCTGTAATTTAACGTTTCCATCACAACAACAAAAACCCTTACTTTTTTTGTAAAGCTTTTTTGCACCACAATGTTTACAAATTATACAAGAAGGAAGAATATAAGGTTCAACTGGAATATTTCGTATATCAATTCTCTTAGAACGATCTAAAATGATAGGAGCATGTGAACCACATTGAGATTGCATATTGTCATCTTCAAATTGCTTTTTCATGCCAATGTTTTCATCAACATGAAGATCCTTCTGTAATTCGACATACTGATCAATAGAATTTACAATCATGAAATTAGTATAAGATCGCTGAAAGACAACAGAAGTGCAAAAATTGAATTAAAAAACAATCTCACAAAAACAAGATGAAAGGAAGTGTACTACAACATAACCAAATAAATAGCCGGATGCAAAAAAAAATTATAAAAAAATATATTTAATCTACGAAACATGCTGTGAATTTAGGACAACATATCATCCTTCTTCATGGCATATGTGTAGAACTTGTAGATACTTCTATAATACCAAATATTTATATCAAAATTTAGTAAAAAACATTAAACCAACAAGAAATCACATTTAAACAAGAAATCATACCTATATGTCTCTTACGCAATTTGTCTTTTTGTAACCTTGGCTGAATTACAAGTTCAGAATCATGTACTTGTGTGGATAAGTACAGCCTTCTTAAATGAGCACGTCTACTTTTAAACCAATTATAAACATTCATATCAGAGATTTGCCTATGCAATGATAGTTCGGAGACTATCTGCATGATCCTTGACTTGTTTGGGATTTTATTCTCTTTATTAAATATAGTTTCAAGAACTTGAATTTGTGCAGATGTAGGCGTCCAATATTACTTACTCATTGTATTGCTGAAAGAAAGAAACCACAAAAATCAACTCAATAAAATTGGAAACATAACTAAGAGTATGCACATTGAAAACAATATCCTCATATAAAAAAAGCCAAAAAAATGCATACATTTCCATGACCCAAACAATGGGAAATATATTGGAAAAAAAAAGAAACCCACCAACAACAACAGGTCTATCGCTGAACAAAATATACACGCAATTGAAGACAAGGAGAAAACAGAAAGATGTGGGGGATGAGAAAGATACGATGAAAATAAGGACAATGATTAAAATAAGGACAAAGATAAGATGCTTGCACGAACGAAATGAACACCACGACGTTTTTAAGGTAAATGAAAATGACATAGATATGGAAATGAATAAATTATATTCACTTAAGTACTATAATTGGAAGAACAAAAAAAAAAAAAAAGAGAACTAAATATACTTATTCATTTTTCTATTTCTATATTATATATTATAAATTTTTATCATCACATAAATAGAAATTGCAAAATTTTAAAAACAACGTTAAAAAAGCCCTACTATTGGTTAAATTTCATACAAAATAAGAAACTCATGTTTAAACTAAAATATAACTTCATATAAAATTATAAAATTATATTCGACAAAACAAAAAAAAAATAATATTGAACCATTTGTTATAATAACAACTAAGAGAAAAAGAGAGGGAAAAAATAATGCCTCCATAATTACGGAGGCTCAAAGGGCAAGGCCTCCATAATTACGGAGGCATCAAAATGCCTTTGTAGCACTACGGAGGCAGTTTGTGCCTCCGTAGTAATTACGGAGGCTAACAAATTTCATTTTTTCCCCCTTTCTTTTTCTCTACTGACTCTCAGCATAAAAATTTAATTTCATTTAATCAACTTAGTTTTTTTAATAGATATGATTCCTAAAATAAATATATAAAATATAAATCATTTTTTTTATATATACAAATATTATATAAATCCTTCAAATGAGTAGAAATGTAGATAAATAATAGACATATTACATATTAATTATATTTCCAATCGTAACCTTTTGATTGCAATCAAATAATATGTGAAACATGTTAAGATAAAATAGTCACTCACGTGATACTTCAATAATTTTTTTTCTCCTCGCTTTTATTTTTGGGAAGAGTAAGATCTGGCTTTTCGGTAATATATTGTCTATTTCTACAATCTGTGAACCTCTTGTCAAATATGGATAAAAGGAAAAATAGAGGAAGTACATATCCTCTAATTTAAATAGTTTCTCATGTTTTCAAAATTTACCTTAAATCACTCCTCACATAAAATATTTACATATCTTTCCTTGTAGGTGCTCAACAAAAAGAAAATCATGTGTCTATCTACTCTTTATTGATTACCATAGCTATTTTTTTAACACTAAATTTTGTAGTTTTAACTTACATCTTGTTTATTGAGATGGACTAAATGTCAATCTTCAATTCTTCTATTAAAAATCAAACACAAATCATGAATTTCTTACCAAACTTCATGATATTTTTCTACAACGACATATATAATATTTTCTTTTTTAAATCACATACAAAGTTTATGTTACAGACATGGAGTTTCCATTAACAAACTTTCTAACTCGCCTATACTGCAAAATCTACCTTAAAATCTATATTAGGGCCTCCATAACGTAAATAATAGAGTTATTCTAACAAAATTTTCATTGTACTATATCGAGACAGAATGGAGGTGCCACATCGTTTCTTCAGAATCATTACTCCTCCACAAAACCATAATACCCGTCTGGTTAGTCACACAACAGTTTCTCCTCTCACATTTGAATGGATGCATTCTTAATATCTCTCTTATACTTTTTAATATATTTGTATGGATGCTTCTCAGATTCTTTGTCAATGATTGGAGACACCAACTTGGTGACACAGTATGAGTAACTGCATATGATGTTAAAATTGTCACAATACGATTGGAAAGAGATAATGGAAGAATATATTTTGTTGATGGATGGAAACAATTTTTTGACCATCATAACTTATAGGATGCTCATATTTTGGTATTTGAATATAACGAAAACTCCACATTCAATATGACCATATTTGACCATTCTGGATTAGAGGTCACATATGACTCCAATGTTCCCGAAGAACACAACGTTTCACATACAGATAACCCTGCATTTGAAATAACACTAACACTTCATCACAACAGCCATCGAGAAATTGTAAGTGTCATTTTTAATAGCTCATTCTACATTCATCTCTTCAACATAAATTTGATTCAAAGATCAATAATTTATTCAATCATAGTTTTCCAGTGTATACCAGGACAGTTCTCTAGATATCACCTACCAAGAGCTCTGCGAAGTGTTCAAATCCATGATTCTTTACATCACAACTGGGAGCTCGCCACAAATTTGCGACCAAATGGTCTAATAAGACGCATGACTATAGGTTGGGCAGATTTTTTTAGAGAAAAAGAACTACAAATGGGCGATACATGTGTTTTTGAACTTTTGAACCGGGAACCCCCAACGTTCATCGTCTACAAAAAAGACCATGTTGGTGGAAGTTTGACACGTCTATGAGACATCTTTACTTTCTTCTAAATGAATTTGTATACACGGAAAATGTTTTATTTTCATATTAATCTATTCTTTTATTTTCACGCTCAATTTTATTTACTCTCTTATTTATCAGTTTACTCCAGAGTTTGTGTACAACAAATCAACATTAACATCGAAGTT